GTAAACAAGAAAATACAAACCACAGAGAACTCTGTCAAACTATGATATTAACATTATATGCATATTCTGAAGTGGTATGAGTCAGTCTTCTGTTTTTAATATAACTAACATTAAAATATGGAAACATGTGATAGGAAAATAGCATATGTGCTATATTTTCATGTAACACATCATCATGTATTATCCAGTATGTACTTTGTCATATGCAAATCTCACTGAGAATTGAGAAGGATGGCTCTGTTTAGGAAGGGATTTTCTTCTAAACTGAAGACTTTTTTGAAACTCTTCAAAAGTTTTGGTGTGAAGATACAAATTACAACTGAAACCTGATCTGTAAAGAATCCAAATGATTGAAATTGCAGCAGGGAGGCTTGAGGTGGGATATTAGCAAGAACTTCCTGATTGTCCAAATACTTGGGAAAAGTTTTCTAGGCAGGACATGTCTCTCCTCCCTGGAGACATTTAGCTGAGAAACTGTCTTTCCTGGGGGGTGGTACCTCACTTCTATAATCTAGACCAGCCAGATGTAACCTTCCATCCAAAGAGAAAAAAGCAAGCCAGAGAGTTGGGATCTTTCTAAAAGGAAAGAGTAAAGCGACATGAAGAATTGGAATAATTTCCTACTGAATTGGGTTTATCCAAGTGTGATAGTGGTGGCTGAAACATCCACTTTGAAAACCTTATCAAGTGCCGATCAAGCTGAATTTGTATTCGAATGACTGTCCAGACTGTGACTTTTCTGCGGTGGTTAGAAAAGGTTTTAGGAGGGTTCTTTCACCGTGGATTCTCTCTTTAGAAGAGGAAGCTGTTTGTTAGATGCCCTTTGGGCACTAAGTATCTGTCTCACCATTGAGTGTGGAGGGGGGAGGGTGCCTCCTGACTGGTTCAAAGAGCAGGGCTGGGCTAGAGAGGTCAGTGGAAGATTGGGGTCATACCAACCACAGCAGGTAAAGGGGAGACATGGGGCTCCACTTTCTGCAAACCAGAGAAATGTATTTGACTAGAGCACACTTCAGGAAGATGTACTTTGGGGGCATTGAGTGCTTATTAGAGGCTTGGGGGAAAAGTAGGCAGGACAATTCAGCAGGGCTATTTAGGGAGACCCAGAATTTGCTCTGATGTCCAGCAACCAGATAAAACCTGACTAGAAGGGACTTTTTAAAGTTTCGTACAGCGTGTCAAAGAAGTTTGGTTGCCTGCCTCTTTTTGTATACATCCAACTCCTTTTCAAACAAAGGTAAACATAACCAAATGTTGGGGAAGATGGCAGAGGGTGAAAGCCAGAGGAAAATGTGACTAGGACACTTCTTAATATTCATACTTATTGAACACCTGGCATCTGGCACCCAGGACCGCATCCGATTACATGCTTGTTGAAAAGATATCTCTCCCTTCTCACTTAAATAGCAACTATGGGCAAAATTTTGGTGTAAAGATACAAATTATAATTTGTTAAAATGGCTCTACTAGATACTTGGGAGGTAGGCAATTGCCCTCCATTTGAAAGCACACAGCCCCAGCCACAATAAATATTTAATACATTGTTTGTGAAGACTAATGAATATACTGTCGGCCCATATCGATGTGCAGGACATTAGAGGCATTTAGTTCCTCCATTTATTTTACAGATGGAGAAACTGAGGTCTGAAAAGGGAAAGGGACTTGCCCAGGCATAAGCTGCATTATTTTAATGACTCAGGGTTATCGTGATTGCAAATAATTCCTCAATCTAATGGTCCTTTGCTTTCACTACAATATTAATGAGCCATTCTTTTTAAAAGAGTGACTCACCAAAAGCAGGGCAGACTGACCAGCAGCTTTCGGGACGGCACTGAAACCTTACCACTCCAACCACAGTCAATTTATATCCAGTGTGTGTAACAGACCACTCACATTTGGTCCTGACCTAATCAGGATGAGATAAGTTAGTGCGGCCACTTGGCACCGCCCTCTAACCTGCCATCGCTGCGGGGTCTGCTGCATTATCTGGGGACCCCTCCTCTTCTTCTTCCATCTCCAAAACCAGCCAGAAAAACTCAGGCTAAAGAGGCTGACCCCAGAGAGGAGAAAGAAAAAGAGCTAACTGGGGACACAGGCCTCCTGAATCTGAAATTCATAAAGGATTCCTTTGGATTTGAAATTGAGTAGGAAGGTTGAAAGCTGGAGTCAGTTCCTTCTGGAAAGTGCATTGCCTCTTTGTCCCACTGTGGTGGCATCAGAAAGTGAGTTTTGTGAGTATAAGAAAGGTGAGAGAGAGAAAGGCTTGCGTGTTGCCTGTAAAAAGTTCCAGATCATCTCTAGTAATCGACTGAGGGAAATGCTGACACTTCTGATTCCCCTGGATTGGATGTTTCTCACCCCCAGGATTCACGAAGTACCTATAACTAGACAGGTAGATGGAGCATTTGGCTGGACCCTCCTGGCTCCCCATTCACTCTGGGAGGTAGGAATCAGAACTGATGCTGCCTCAGATGGGAGCTGAGATTCCCTGCCCTTTGGGCCACTGATTTGGGTTGGGGAGGCTTGGAAGGCAATAGCCGGGTCAAAGTGGGTCAAAAATTCTTTAGCATGGGAGGAAGGCAGGGAGCAAGGTGGCACTATGATCTAGCAGTACTTCTCAAACTTGAATGTGCAAAGAAATTACTTGGGGATCTGCTAAACCAAGATTTTGATTCCGTCTGGAGTAGGGCCTGAGATGCTGCATTTCTAACTAGCCCACAGGTAGTGCTGATACTGCTGGGCCATAGAGCAGTAAAAGAACCAGAGCCTCAGAGGCCCCTCAATATTGCAGACCAAGCTGTGATCCCAAGATGTGAATTCTCTCCAGCAGAGCAGATCCTGCACTTTTGGCATTGATGAAGGGTGCTCTCCTTTTGACCAAAGAAAGCTGGAAAGTGGGCAATTAGCAAGATCCTTCTGGTATTCTTGATCTTTGTAACAACCTGTTATAGCTGAAAAAGCATTTTTAATTAGACCAAATTATCCAGTTTGGCTGTCCATAGAACTCAAAGCCCCAGCTGAAATGTCTGTTTTCATTCTGTTGGTGTGGAAATGGCTATGTGCTGTGACTTTTAAAATGTTGAACACTGCCTATGGGCCTATTTTATGGAGAAATAAACACACAGCCCAGTGATATGTATAGTGTGGTTTTAATATATTGTATATTCACTTATTTATGAGGAAAATAAACACACAAGCCAATAAGCTGTGTATTATTACTTTAATATATTGAATTTATTTCACACCTATATATTTTCTGAGGAAAAATAACCTAATAAGATACACGATATTATAATAACACACCTAATTGTTCTATATTAATTTATTTATAAAAGAAATAAGTACAATTTAACATGACATAAGATTACTTAATGCAGGAGATGAATTTTATATTAAGACAATTTAAGGGATTAAGTTTCAGCTGAATAAGATATGTGTACTTCCTACACTGAGGGACCGGTTTAAAAAATATATATACGAGGGCCTGTCTAGTCCTATCTGTCACGACCTATGTTGGCTCCTGGCTTTTCCTTTCAATTGTTGCCGGTCGGTACCTGGTATTCCAAGTCTCGGTCCTGCTGGTCCAGGGGAAAGCCTGGGAGGCCCAGGAAATAAACCGATTTCAGAGACTGGCAGCATCTGCTAGGGAGGTAGCCCTGCGGTGTCTATTTCTGAGCCCGAGAAATATTAAATAAACCTAAGGAGGATGGATTGCTTTCCAGGGCCCTTTAAATCTCCACGTCCCCCGGAAGAAGCCAGAAGGCAGATGGGGAAGATCGATTCTTGCTTCCCGCTTACAGGGTTTGCAAGTCGCCGGCTGATGCGGTGGGGGATAGGAGATAGTGTTGAGATGGCAAATTAAGTTGTTGGCAAAGGCAGGTAGGTCTGCATTTGGAGAAAGCTCTGGCCAGGCTTCAAATCCCAGAAGCGAAGGATCAAAAGTCTGAGCCCCCAAGGCGGACCGGGGCCTGCAGAGCCGCCGCGTCCCCTCCCCTCCCCGCTCCCTCGCGGACTCTCCGTCCATCACGCGCCCTCTGCATCCGTTGGGCCCATTGTTTAAAATAAAACAAAAAGTAAAAGGAGGTTCCTGATTCTCTCTCTTCACTGTCGTCTGAACGATCCAGAAAGGAGAAAGGGTGCACGCACGGTCCTCCGCGAGGCACCCCGCGCGCCCCGGAGCGGCTGTCATGGCGGCCGCCGGCGCTGCCCGCGCCCTCCCCGCCGCCCGGCCGAGCGCCATTTTGAGCATCCTTCTTGCTTCCCCGTCTCCCGCCCGCACTCTGCACTCCTCCTTCCCTCCCTGCGGTCCAGGCGCCTGCCAGTGCTGCCCGGGCTTCCCGGGCGGGTCGGCCTGCCGCTCCTCGGACCTGCTCCGACCCCAGGGACCTTGGGCCGACCGCGGGGACGCGCGTCTCCCTCCCGGCCTCCGTCGCCGCCCTGTGCCCTGGGGCACCGGCCGTGCTTCCCGAGAAAAGTCCTGGCCCGCTCCCCCGCTTCGTCAGGCCGTGCCTCCAAGTCTCGAGTCCCCAGGCTTCCTGCGTTCCGGCAAAAGTCCCTCCAACCCCGTTTGGGGCACTGGAGCAAGAAGCTTGGGAGACCCCAGGACCCTCCCAAGTCGGCCGAACCTCTGTGCCGCCCAGCCCCGCCACGACCCCGCAGCCTGCGGCCGAGGCCGCCTCTCCTTGCACCCCACTCTGCAGACAGCACGCACACCCCCTGCACCGGCTCCCAGTAGAGGCCCGGGAACACCCACGCAGGGAGGGCCGAAGGCCCTCTCTCAGGCGGTGGTGAGGTGACCCAGCTTCCAGCAAACCTCCAGTCTTTTCGGAGCTGCGGGGAGAGAAGCGGCGACCAAGTGGGGCCATTTTTGTACCACCCGGACTTACCCGGCCCAGGGCCAGACAAACCCCGGGCGGGAAGAGAGGGAGTCAGGCCGGCCCAGGGGCGTCGGGGGAAGGGGCTGCGTCCCAACAGAAACAGTCGTATTAGTATGATAAAGACATTTATTTAATCTATGAAAATAATGTACAATAAATATTCTCCCCTTTTCCTATTATTAAAGAGTTTTAATAAATAATCTACGGTCTAAAACTTAAAAAAAAAAGAGGAAAATAGGTTCCTCTAGTTCTTTTTAAAGAAAGCCCCCCTAGAGTTTAATTATTCCTGAGATTTCGTTGGAAGGAGTCTACCAAACGGAATTTTTCTGTGATTTCAAAAAGACGCACGAGTGCCCAAAATTTTAGAGAGAGAAGAGAGGAAATGGATTAAACGCTAATTCAATAACACCTGAATTTTAGCAAAACACAAAGAACTCTAAACCACTTGGGGGGGGGATGAGGGGCCCCGGTGGGGGGGGTCCTGGGGGACAGGAAGGTGGGAGGAGGGGAAGGTTAGGGGAACTGCAGGTCGATGGCACAGAGGGTGCTGGTGAACAAGTCCAGCTCTTCCTCGGAAAAGGGAACAGGGCTGTCGAGCGAGCCCTGCAGGCTGGGGGAGAAGCCCCCGGACAGCTGGAGGCAGGAGTCGGCCGCGAAGAAATTGAGGTCGGGCAGAAAAGGCGAATCCTGTCGCTCTGGAAAGGCGTCTTCGGGCGACTGCTCTGGCTCCAGCCCGCCGGCCCTGCGCAGGGCGCAGTTGGGGCTCGGCGCTCCTGCGCCCTCCCCGCGAGAGGCCAAAGCCGGGGCACCCTGGGGGCATGGCACGACCTCGGGCGGGTGAGAGCAGGCTCCCCGCGCCGCCCCCAAGGCAGAGGGACTGGCCTCGGGTTCCGGGGCGGTCTCGCCGGTATCCTCTAGGGCACCCGGGCAGGCTGGCTCCCCATCGGGCGGTTCTCGGTGCTGCGTCTGCCGCTTGTGCTTCATGCGCCGGTTCTGGAACCAGACTTTGACCTGTCTCTCGGTGAGGTCCAGCAAGGCCGCGATCTCGACGCGCCGCGGCCGGCACAGGTACTTGTTAAAGTGGAATTCTTTCTCCAGCTCCAGCAGCTGCGTGTTAGTGTAAGCGGTGCGCAGCCTGCGCGCCCCGCCGCCGGCCGCCTCCGCCAGCGCCTGGCCATCTGCTGGGAAAGCAGACTGGGCGTCAGAGCTGGCCGCCCTCTCCTCCCAACCTCAGTTCAGCTGAAATAAAGACTACTCCATCCGCCAAAAACAGTATCAGCAGCACCCCTTCCTTTCCGCCCACCAAATCGGCCCTCTCTCACTGCTTTTCCCTTTTCTCCCTGTCCCTCTCCCTCTCACAGCCGGCCGGGTTAGGGCAAAGCATTCAGAAAGCCGCCCACAGGCGACGCAGGGGTTAGGAAGCGGCTCCCCTTTGCTCCCAGAACCTGAGTCCGCCCCCTCCCGCACAAGTCTTCCGAGTGGACCCCTTAATTCGGACTCCACCCGGGAAGAAGGTGTATAAAGAAAGATTGTTCCTCACCCCCTTTCCTCCCTAGCTCTCAGATTCCCCCCACTAGTGTAAGAGCTGCGGGAAATGGGACCAAATCTTTTTCTGCTCCCAGATTCAACCCTAACAACAACACACGTTCATTCCTCCACACAGATAAAGGTCAATCGAATTCTTTTCTTCTAGCAGAGAAAAAGCTCTTTCCCAACAAGCCTAGAAAATCTGCTGTAGGATTAAAAAGAAAAATCTGGCAGCGGCCAAGGCCTGCACCCCAGCGATCTATTCTGCTTCCTCGTCCCTGGAATCAACGGGGCAAGGAACCCCAATATGCTCGCCACCTTTTCTTCCTCCCCCATCGCTCCTTCTCCCCCTCTCTTCTAGCTGCCCCTTACCCACCCAACCCCTAACCGGTTTACCGACCTGTGGGCGAGCTGACACCGGAGGCCGGGATGGAGGAGGCGGCCGGAGGAGATGTGGCAGATTGGCTGGGTTTCTTGGCGGATTTCTTCTCTTTCATCCAGGGAAACTCAGGGGCCAGGGGGGCGGCGGGGAGCGGCGGCAGCGGCGGCGGCAGAGCGGGGCCATCTTCGGCTCGCCTTTGGCTCCCGGGTCTCTGAAGGGTGGAGGCGCCGGGCTGGAGGCTGGGGAAGGTTTGCTCGAAAGGAGGAGGAGGAGGAATTAATGTCGACTCCTTGATTGATGAAGTTTGAAATGTCTCCAAGACAGCGGGGAAGGAAGTCAGACACTCGGCGAGCGATGGCTGGCTGTTTATAAACCCAATCTCCCTCTCAAATTCAAAATTCATGGCTTTCAATGGTGGGGGAGGGGGCCTGCTGGGGGGGGCGTCAGGAGGGAGGATCGGAAGGGACCCCCCCTCCTGCCCCCCCCAGGTTTATGTGATGGAGCGATTTTGGGAGGGGGAGATTTCGCTTTCTATCTCTTTTTTTAATTTTGGGCCTTTATAATTGTATATTGCTGATAAATACAAGCGTATGGGGACTCTGTCTATTAAACCCAGGACTCCGGCGAAATTGCAGGGAATTCGTGGTCACGCGACCGGCCTTGGCCAATCGCTTCTCTGGGCCTGGTGGAAAACAGAGAGCATTATTTGCTTTAATTGATTCAAAAACTCTAGAGGACCCCAACCTGGATACCAGGAGACCCCCAGTCCTTCACTCCCTTTCCCCAATACCTCCCTTTCTCCCGAAAAACTAGAGAAACTTTCCCTCATGTCCTTCAGGATGAGAGGTTCTGGGAGCCTGGAAAACAAGAGAGTATAGGGAGAGATTTTCCTCTTTTCTAAATACTTTAATAGAGTAAATTAATGCTTTCCGTACATGCCAAGCAGCATCTCCCCCCCCCCCCCCCCCATAAAAAGAAGGTTCTTAATGTAGCAGGAAAAGGTAGTAGAAAGAGGCTTCCCCCGCTTTCGGAAAAGTCAGCTTTAAGGTGCAATAAGGAAGAGAAGAGATTTACAATCATCAGCACCACTACCCCCATCCCACCCTCCAAAAGCAACAGATAAATCTCGGAAAATCGACAGACACTCCCAGGCTGACACAGAGGAGTGAGATCGATGGTGACGGTGAGGGGCCCTTTTGGGCCTCTGGCCTCCATAGCTGTGTGGTCTCAGTTCCCTTCTCTGCCCGGGGTTTGCAGCACTGTGTCTGCCCCTGTGCCCACCTGCCTTCCTCACCTGACCGAATCTGCATTCCGCTATGACACCCACCCTCCAACAGCTAGGGTCTAAAATGCATTGCGTTCACTGAAGCCTCAAGCTTGTATCTGTGTCTATAATCCAGGAATGGAACAAGAGCCAAGGTAGCCAACGATTTGTTTAACTTAGTGCAGTCTCAAAGCTCAGGTCCATATGTGGGGGGTGGAGTCCTCCCCTAGGACAAAGAGATGCCCCGTCCCATTTTTGTCATTGTGCTAGTAAAAAATAAATAAATAAATAAATAAATATTAAAAAAAATCCCTCTGGAGAAAGATTTTCCTGAACATGGAGGGGTGGAAATAATGACTGTTGAGATGCTATGCCTTTTCTGGCCCTTGAGGGAGTTTTTTTGTTTGGTTTTTTATTTTGAAAGAATTGAGATAGTGTGAACTTTAGGGTGTGCTGTAATTTACTGGGGGGAGGGGGCGCAAGACTTAGAGCCCCAAGCAATTGGTGGGAAACCAGGTCTCAATGCAGAAAATGAAAAGTCGATCTGGGGGAAGATTTTTAAATAAGTGGGTCAGAGGGACGGAGAAGAGATGAGGCGATCAATCTTAGCCCCCTGACAGCTCCCTCCGATGGCATCAAAGAATTTGGCTCTTTGGGAAAGCAGAAGGAACAGCCGAAATTCCACATCCCTTTAAAAGGCCTGGGGGTGGGGGGTGTTAGCACAAGAGAAAGGTGATTCTGGGAGATCGGGGAAACAGATGGGAAATGGGGACAGAGGGAAGGGCGCTGAGTTGGGTGGAAAGTTTGTCTGCAGAACTCCCACGGCTCTGGCCTCCCCTCCCCCTCGGGCTCTCAGCTGCCCAGAAAGAAGCAGGCTGGTTAGCAGAGAAATGGCAACTCAGCCGGGAGCTGGAACTAGAAACTTTCTGTCAATGTAACAGCCGCGTGGGTGGTGGTGAGTATTCATCTGCGTGGGTGGTGGTGAGTATTGAAAAGGGACAGAGATGTCTGAATGGAAGGGCGAGGGCTGTAGGGACAGGGCGGTGGCAGACTACGGAGGGCTCAGAGAGAACTGCTATGAGCTGAGCAGAGTGGCCAGGCTCGGTTCTGTCCAACTCAGCTCCAAAGAAATCAAATTTTACCATTTGCAGGTAGGGGAGGGGGAGGGGCAGGAGAATCCGAGTAGTGGTTTTCTGGAAGTTGTTCAGTGAGGCCTGAGAGCGGGTTCTTCCTCGGCCACCCACTTGAGAAGCCCCTGGAAGTTTTTTCACGAGCTCTCGAGCTGGCTGCAGGGTCCAGAGCTTCTCTCTGCAACAGCCGGCTAAAGCTGTCCCCACAGGAAATACGGCTCTCCCTAACCCTGCTGACAGATTTTACTGCCAGATTAGAGAACAGCAGAAAACTTGGGTGTTAAAAGGGGCCAACAGATCCCCCTTCCCAGAGACACCGCTTCCCCGCCCCCCTGTTGTGCCGTGAATCTTACAGTGCAGAGATTTTCCCCATGACTTTGGCTGCTGAGCTGGCGCCGGAATCCCACAGAAAAAAGGGTGGGGGACACCCAGCCAAGTCAGTCCTTATTTTTCTTGTTTGCCATCCCAGCTTTAAGCTAAAGCTCTGTTTTTCAAACTCGAGCTGCATTCTCTCTCTTGGCCCACCTCTCTCCTACTAATAACCCACTGCACCCCCAGAACCAAATATGGCGCTTCATGCAGTCACACCATTCAGAAAATGTTATTCAGGGAAGAGGAAGAGAGAGAGAGGGAAAAAAAACCCTTGAGCGTTCTTTGATCCCAATCAAACTTTGCACGCTCTTATGCCTTTAAATTATAGCCTGACCCAATGCTAAATTGCTTGCTGCTTGGATGAGCCGAGTCCAGTTAAAATCCTACAGGGTGGGGTGTAGAACTCAGGTTGCTTTTTTATTGTTATTTATTGTTGCATAAAGACTGTAATTACTAACCTTGGACTGCAAGGATGCAACATAAAAATGAAAATCAGCCCTCGCTTTAAGGCTGAGGGCCTGCAACAATTCTCAACGATACCCCCCCAATCACTTCCACCAAATATATGCTCCTAATTAAGCAATGCGGGCGCACCGCTTACAATTAGAATTATGCAACTCTTCAGCGAGCAGCCATCGCTTTCCTTTCAACGAATTAGCTCCATATTTCAGCCGCCCTGTCTCCTCGCTCTTATCAACTCCAGCGACGCAGCGGTGACATTTCATCTCTGACAGACCCTCTCTATCCTCGCTCCAATGTGATAAAACTTTTATAGAACCACGACTAAGAAATGAAGTTTTCCCAAGGATCGTGGAAACAGAGCCACACATTAGCCTGGGGACCATTTTATTGACGCTTGGATCCAACAGCTTCCCCCACCCTCCTCCTTTCCTCCCCCTTTCCCTGGCAGGGAAATCAAAGGCGTCTCCACCACCCCCACCCCCCGTTTTATTTAGTGGTTTAATTTCACTTTGGTTTTAAGGTTTGACCTGAGAAGTCTAGGCCTCAGATTTTTTTTTTTTTCTTAGATTAATCATTTTTCTTTGTTTTCATTTTAGACCCAATGGTGGTTGGGTTTCAGGTCACGTGACCACTGTTCTGTAGCTCCGGAAGAAAACGGTGAAGTTTAGGTTGCCTGGAAGGAGCAGTAATCGGGCCCATTTTTGGTTGTCGTGGTCGTCGTCGTTGTTGTCGTTGTTGCTATTTGGGAAGGGGTGGGCAGCAGGGAGGGCCAGGAAGTTGTGGCCCAAGGAGCGAGGAGACAAAAGGTCAATGAATGAGAAAAACAGAGAGTCAAAGAAGCCAAACAGACAGTCCTAGAGAGAACACCCAAGAGTCCTCCTTCCCTGCAACTTCTTACTTAAATTTTAGCTCGAGAACTTGGCAGTATATTCCAGGTCCCTGGGAGAAAAGCTATATGAACAGGAGACACGGCAAGAGGAGGTAGGCGCCTGAGCAATGGACAGAAAGTCCAGGACAGGGTCTTCGGTGTCCTTGTTCCCTTGGGGGAAATTTGGCAGTGGGCAGCCCCCCTCTGCTATCTAAATTGGACCACCAGGACAAGATAAAATTGATAACAGAAAGTTTATTCAAGAATTGTTTGACAGACAACCCTTTTAAGTAAGGAAAAAAGTAACTACGGAAGAACAAAGAAACTTCTGAGAGGGAATTAACTCTAATTCTACAAATCCAGGACTATACAATGACAATTAGGAGCTGAGCTCATGCCTTTTAGAACTAATTACAATTGCTCATAAGTACGAGTGGAACATAAATCTACAGCTCTTTTCTAGAGTACAATAATAACTAAAATAGCTGGTTTTACATGACAGGAAACACGTCCTTTAGAACAAGTAAATACTAAAAAAAGTACAGGTTTTTTTTTTTCCTTTTTTTCCCTCATATAAATACATAACGTAAGGGGATAAATAATACAAAAAAAGAAAATATTTTAACAGGCTATGACCAATAAATATATATGAAAATGTTCACTAGAACACACACTTTTTGAGCGATGCTGGACTCCTGCAGGCCCAGTCATCTCTCACAGTTGTTTTTATATCCATTAGAATGTAAACTCTAAGTGCAACAAAAGTGTCCTGTCAGAGGGCTGAGCGAGGCACCAGCCTCAGCCCCTGCCTGGGACAGACAGTTTGTTAAAATATACCCTGTTTTCACGTTAAGTCAAGAGAGCAACAGAAGAAAAGAAAAGTGTAGAAGAACCTCGTGTCTCCGATTGCTTTCTGTGGAAAGAGCGGGATGGACCTGGAGCTGAGTGGGAAGGAGCAAAATGGGCAAACCTTCAGTCCTGACAATTTGCCTGCCCTCACCTCCCAGCTTTTCCATAAAAGAAAAATATAGATATATTTATAATATAGACAGCTCTGACTTTCAAGATCTCTCACCATCCCTGAGCCCTCTGAAAACTGTCATTGTTGGGGGCGGGGTATAGATATTAATGTCCTAGAGCAGAAAAATATGGGGCCAGAAAGGAGTGCCCAATTAATCTCAAATAGATGGGAGGAAATTTGAGGCTTCAGGGAAGTGGGAGGGGAGCGTAGTTAGTGCCCCTGGTTTTGAAATGTTTCCTAATTCTTTTTAAAGGAGAATTGCAAGAGAAAAAAAAAAAAAAGATTTGGGGGAATTACCCACAGAGACTGAAGGTAAGTTGGTTGGTTGGTGATGGCCTAGCCATCTTGTCTGTTTTTTAAAATGTGCTTCTCTGCCTTGTTTTTCTATTTATCCCTTCCTCTACCCCACTCCCAAGCGTGGAATTCCAACTGGGTATTGCTGGAGGCCTAAGGTTGATGGGGTTATCTCCAGTCTGCTGTGGGCTCCTTTCCAGTGGGTTGGCAGGCAAATGGAACAAGAGCTGGAGGATTTTGAAAAGCAACTTTTCAGGCCAGGAGGGGAAGGAGCTCCAGGCCTGTTCTTCCCAGGAAGCCTGGCTATCACTTCCCTGCCTCCTCCTTCAGATCTCCTGCCCTGCTAGGCCTGTCCCCTTGACCTCACCCGTCTGCCCTCCCTCTCCCATTACAGGTGTGTTAACTTGGGCGCTTCTTGGATTCTACCCTGAGGAGGAGGCGCATGGTGAGAGGAGAGGTCTGTGTAGGTGGGGTGGGGGTCGCAGGGTCCATGGTGCTGGCTGGGGGCCATAGGGGGCGCCCCGTTGTAGTCCAGGTTCCCCGAGGGGTGGTGGGAAAGATGGTTGAGGCCATAGAGGGAGGGGCCGGCAGGGGGCGGCAGCGGATCCGCGTATCCACCCCCGCCCACGTACACTGGGCTGCCCTGCATAGTGGGCGTCCCGTAGGCGCCCCCGTTGGCTTGGAGGACATGGGGCTCGTAATCAGGCGCCGGAGTCTGGGGGTACTTCTGTGGGGCGCCGCAGCCTTTGAGAGGGGGCTGGTAGTTGGAGGACAACGCGTAGGCATTCTGGTGGGCTTTGCCGAAGGTGGGAGGGGACGGGCTCTCATAGCTCGGGGTCATGGAGTGTAAGGCGTTCATGAAGCCGGCTGTGGACTGCATGGGCTGCGGCGGGCTGCCGGCGGGGGAGGGGCCCCCGGACGACGAGGCCAGGCCCTTGGCTTTCTGGTCTTTCTTGTACTTCATGCGCCGGTTCTGGAACCATATCTTGATCTGCCGCTCGCTGAGGTTCAGCAGGTTGGCCATCTCCACGCGGCGCGGCCGGCACAGGTAGCGGTTGAAGTGAAACTCCTTTTCCAGCTCCACCAGCTGCGCGCTCGTGTATGCCGTCCGCGCCCGCTTGGACGCCGCAGACCCCGGGGGGCTCTTGTCCCCTCCCCCGCTGCTACCGCCCCCGCCACCACTGCCTCCTCCTCCGCCGCCACCGCAGCCCTCCGCTGGATCCGAGGGGGAGGGGTGGGAAGAGGAGAAAATGAAATAAAAGATAATTACTGAACACGCCGAAATTGAATGCATCGTTTCTTAATAAATCCAGGCCTGGACTCAGAGCCCCCTCCGCCTCCCCTTCCCATCCCCGCCTCCTCCTAGCTAACCACCCCTCACACACACACCCGTCGCATTAGCGGACACTCTATAATAGTGGCATTTATTAAGAGACCTGTTCTCCTCTCGCTGCCCCAGCTTATGAAAATTTGATCATGTCACGCAGACAGAGCCACATGGCCATTTATTTAGGGCTGGATGTTTCAAGTACTTTTTCTCCCCATCCCCAAGTCCAGGTCTGGGAAGACACTCCCTCACTTCCTGCCCCATCCTGTGGACCACGGTGGGTGGTCAAGGAAGACCCTTGAGGGAATCTGGACATCCGTGGGCAGGACACAGGAGTATGGCGCAAAGAGGCTGCCGTGCCTGGAGGCCGGGACCCTGGGCAGCCCGAGAGATTGTGATTAATACCCACAGTAATCATACTTAATAATAATCAATTGTTGGCGACTCTGCGTCTACCCGCAGTGGCTGCTGCCTTGGAAGACCTGAGGCCCAGCGCCTGGCCTTCGGGAGCTCTCAGCAGGTCCAGTGGAAGGTGGCTGGAGGGAGAGGGTGTTGGCGGGGTCAGGGGTCATCAGGTGCTGGGAGGTAAGGGAACTGCGCCGCCCGCCGCCGCCCGGCACCTGATATTGTTCCCAGGCCGCCGCCTGGGCGCCTAGGAGCTGGGTGCTACAATAACAGTGACATTCCTCACCCGGACAAAAGCGGACGGTGAGGAAGGCAGAAAGCTGGTACCTGTGCCGGGGGAGCTGTTTTTCAGCTTGGACGTCTGCCTCGACTCTTTCATCCAGGGGAATATCTGTTTGGTGAGGGTGGAGTTGGAGCCAGGACCACATTTGGGGGGGCCGCTTTTGCCGGACCCGCCCCCATTGCTGCTGTTGCTAGTGGTACTGGTAGGTGCAGCGCTGGGCGGGGGTGAGCCGGGCGGGGCAGACAGGGGCTCAGGGGCCAGGCCAGGCCTCATGCAGCTGCCGTTGAGCTCCTTGCCCTTAGCATGCGGGGCGGCGTTGCCCAGGGACTGCAGCGAGCATGCTGAGCGCTGGTAGTCGCCCTCCAGGTGCGTGGCGGCCTGGAAGGGGGGTTGGGGGGCACCGTCGTAGCCGAAGCCATTACTGCCAGGGTATGAGGAGTAGCCTCCGAAGAGTGCAGCCGCGGTGTTGTCGTAGTAGGTGGCTTTCTGCATCGCTGGGCGAAACCCGGGCAGTGGGTGGCAACTTGGAAGGGCCTGATACCCTCAGGACCAGACATTGGCACCCCCGGGGGTCACGTGAGGCGCCGGACCCCCCCTACCCTTTCTGCCCCCCTCCTCCCGGGGTCTGTTCCGAGCCGCTGACCTGCGGGGCGAGAGAAGAGACAGAAGGGGGAGAAGAGGACTGGGGCTCGAATCCATCTTAAGAACTGAAAAGGGAGCTGACATCAATAGGGATTTTTCTTCTCCCCCACCCCGACATCTTCACAGCAGATGCTGAGGCCACTTCCTGACCTGAAATGGATTTTTCTTATTTCAGTGCTTTAATTTAAAGTAAAAACCCACCAGTTTCCATCTCCACTTAAAAAATAAGGACTGTACTCCTTTGGGGACTGGCTAGGTAGGACTTCTTACTGGGAGAGTCTTACTGCTTTCTCTCCTGCCTGCACACTAGCCCCTGACCTCTCCTCCTCCCTCTCCCTATCTCCCCTACCCCAACTCTTGAGATAGGGTGGCCCAAGAGGGGGGAAACTGGGCGACTCTAATAAAAGCATCAACACTCTTCTCTGAGCTGAGAGGCCCCCTGCCTCTGTCCCCCTCCATGTCCATCTGGGTCTCTCTCATCGGAGCAGAGTCTTGCCTGAAGGAGAAAACAAATCCCCGAAAGAGACAGAACGAAGCACAGTTGAGTAGAGAACCTACTTGTATAGGGGATGGTCTCCTTCCCCTTCCCCTCCCACCTCACGAAGACAACAACGGCCTGACCTAGAAACTTCCTGAGGACTTTTAGCCTCCAGAGCCAGAGGAACCGAGCGTTTGCCGAGTCCCAGCTGCAGGTACCACCGCGTCCAGTCTGCGTCTTTGCTCGGCCAAGTCTGGGACCAGGCAGCCAGCGGCCCCCATGGAGCCCCCAAATGGAACAGGACTGTTTCGATTTCCCTGACTGGGCTCATCGGTGCCGTGACCATTTGGCCCAGATCTCCCCCCTCCTCCATTTTTTCCCCACCCTTTTCTTGACAGTTTGTTTCCTTTGATTTCTTCAAAAGAAGAAGAAAGAAACTAGATAACTGCTGGACTTTTCTACCAAAAGATGGGAAAGGCTTTCTGAAAGGGAGGGGGACCTCCCTAGGAAAAAAAAGAATGTCAAGAAAGCAATCTGAACAATATTATTTGAGCAATATTATTTTGGGGATTGGAAACAGGGTACTTCTGTTTACTGAAGTTCTCTATGGCAAAGAAAGAAAGAAATACAATCATTCTTTTTGTGTAGCCTTTTCAAAGTGTGCGGGGTTGGGGGCAGGAATAAAGGTTGAAGCTGTAATAGGATTTTGTCTATTTCTTCTGAAACTTCTGACTTCATTTACCTCTCCCCCTCTGTCTTCACCAATGTCTCAACATCACTGTTTCCTAAAACCTCCAGACTGACCCTCTCTTCTGACATGTGAGTTTGGAATATTTAAATCTCGCACAGCCCAGCTGGCAAACTCCAAAGAAAACTAAAAATAGGAAAATAAAAGGAGTGGAGGTGAAGGAAATCCCTCCCACACATAAATTCCCTTCTTAATGGCACAAATTGATACTTAAAAGAAACCTAAGGTGGCCCTCAATTCCGATTGGTTTCCGGGAAGAATTTGTTTCTGGAAAATACACATGGGTCTTCAAAGCAGCAGGTCCTCTCAGGAAGAACTGGAGTTCAGTTGACCAGGCTGACCCAATCCCTTTATTATTATTATTACCATTAGCCTCTGATGACTTAACCAAAATTAGCTTCGGAGCAGCCTGGCTGAAGGGGGGGGGGATTCATTAATAGGCATCAGTTGAGTCTGTTATTAATAGATAGAATAAAATAAAAATGTTGGTGGGGGTTGGCTGGCTGGGCCCTGGCTTTATTCAGTCTAATGATTGTTACAGCAGTGATAGTGATGATGAGGATGATGTTGATGATGATGATGATGATGATGGTAAAATAATAATTTGAATAGATGCCTGAGGCCGAAATTTCTGTCGCTCCCCCTGCAATAAACCCGCAAACCATCGCAGGACCAAGGCCAGGAGAATGTGGGAAGCGAAGGAGCTAGAGGCGAGATAGGAAAGAATGGAGACTCAGCCGCCGCCGGGGAGAAAGGGCCCGGAAGGTTTGCGGACACGCTTAGCCCCTGGCTGCTGCCGCCCGCTGCTGCTGCCGCCGCCGCCGGGCTGTCTCAGCCGCTGCTGCCGCGGTGGCTGGCGACCAGCTATGCTGCCCCAAGGTGGCGAAGAGAAAGCGTTCAGGATGCCGAAACGGTTAGCGATGGCAGGTTCCAAGCGCACCGGGTGGAGGGCCCAGCCCTACGGGCGGCAGCAAGTTTGGGCGCTGGATGTAACCGAATTAAAAGGCGCTTTAGCAACTCCGCTCCGGGACTTTGCCAGGCTGAGCCGCAGGGCGCCGAGGCCTGTCTGGTGGGACAGTGAGAAGAGGGAACGGTGCCCGAGGGGATCCGGTATCTTGGGATCCAGGAGAAGTGGGGGTGGGGAGCAGCTCTACCAAGCCAAACATGACTATTTCCCTTGCCTCCATGTTGGAAAAATCCAGGCTCCATATGGCTTCTCCGGAGCTAGACGGTGGCTCCTGGCTTCCCCCAGGGTCTCGCTGGAGTGGGCCACCCCAAGAACCCCACCTCGCCAGGCACACTCCCGGAAGAGCCAAGGAAGCCCCGGGAGAGGGGACAGGCCACCTTCCAGGACTTAAAAAAAAAAAAAATTAATGGAAAGAAGAAAAATAAAACAAGAAAGGAAGAGAAAGGTTAGGCTCTTCTTAGCAGCCGGAGAAAAATTCAGCCCTGCATCTGGCTGCTGAAGGAAAAGAGGAGAAAAGGAGAGAGGCAGGAAGAGAGAGGGAGGGAGAGAGAGAGAGAGGGAGGGGAGGGAGAGAGAGAGAGAGTCAGTCGCTGCGTGGAAGGAAGCTTAAAGCTTGTGAACTCTTCTTGAACCGAGATTGGAGTCATATGGGCCATAAATCATTGAGACATACTCTCCGCCATTCACAAACTGATAGCCTATTTTAGTCCAGCTTACCTTAGCCACCGACGAGGGGAGAACAGGCAGACATAATATATATTCACATCGAGCCCCAGCGCGAGCGGCAGGCGAGAAATCTCCCCTCCTTGAAGGCAAAGGAAAAAAAGACCACTGTTTAAAGCTGCGTCGCCCCCCCCTCCCCAATAGCCACCCCGGCTGGGGAGCCCGAGGGGCAGACCGGCCGGAGGTGCCGCGCGGCGTCCGCTTCAATTCACTCGGCTTAGGAGCGGGGGTGCGCAGAAGGGAGGGGGTGGGGAGCGGGGGAAAAACCGAAGACCGAAAGGTGCTCGGGCTGCTGGGCTCGCCGAGAATCCAGCTCCGGGCTCCGCCACGGCCAAGTCGCCACAGTGTGGTTGCCCTATAAGACTGGTACGCCCTACTCTCCGTAACAATGGCCTCTGCTTTTGCACAGGGAAAAAAAAAAAAAAAAACCACACAGACACACACACACACTCACACACACACAAGCTCACACACCCCCCCACCTCTCCCCCTTTACCAAGCTTAGATGCTTGATAAGGAGGGAAGGTGATCGTGGTACTGGGGGAGGGGGATTTTTAACCCCTCCCAAAAAAAGAGTGTGTAAGGAAAGAAGGTTGAGAGGTTTGGGTTGGTGTTTTGTTTTGTTTTGTTTTTAGAACAGGTAAATTTTTAAATGGAGATTTTAGCAGGGGACGCAGGGGGAGCAAAGGCAAGGCAAGCCAGTGGAGGCACAGCTCCCCCCGCCCCAGCAGTAAACCATTATGCTAATTGAGAAGTAGCTGTTGGGAGGCCTAGTCAAAGGTGCCGTCTCCCCGGGGTGGGGGTGCCGGGTGCCCCTGTGCGTTCATATGCAGTGGAGCACTAGGACTTTTTTTTTTTTTAAAGTAGTTTCACTCCTCCCGGGACTAGTGGCTGGGTCTCCTGTCCCCTCATTCCGACTCCCTCCGTCCCAGTCTCCCAATCTGTTTCTCCTCCCCCCACACCCACCCGATTCTCCCCCTCTCCCCACAAATTTCCAGGCCCAGTTTCCAACTGGTAGGGGGAAGGCCGGTTTTTTTTTTTTCCCTAAAACAGCCCCTCCTTTTTGAGAACAGACAACAAGCGGTGAGTGATGATTTTAAAAATCCAGACTGTCTTGCAGGGGGAGGAGGGTTGAGGAGAGGATGACAAAAGGAGGACCCTGCATTTTGCTTGAGCTCAAGACTCGCTAGCAATAGTGTGTAAGAACTTCCTGGAGAAGTTTCTGTTACAATTCTCACCTCTGGACGGGCAGAAGGGGCCAAGAGGTGATAAGGATATTTGTACTTCTAAGAAGATGAGAAGAACTAGCAAAATGGCTTAATTTTAAACGCACTGGCAAAAGAGACGGGAGGGGGGGTACGTTTTGCTGTCTCGATGGTCGTCATCCTTATTACTCGGAGCAAACCTGGTTGTTTTCTTAGCTCCACGAGATTATGGCTCCGGGCAGAAGTGTGGAAGACGACAGAAGCCAAACTTTTCTTAGGGTGTGTTTGAGAAGGGCAGGAAAAGTGGAGGAGGCCTGTGGGAGGAAGGCAAGAGCCAAGAATGTAGGTGTCTGCAGATTTGGGTCTGGGGGTGGGGAGAAGTCATTCCCGGCCGAAGAGAAAGACAAAAAGAGCACCAGGACATTCCCCAAAGCAGGAGTGTTTGAACTCTGCCTAACTGCTGACTCGGGGTTTAGGAAGCAAAATACAAAGCAAACAGTTTCTCTCTCTCTTTTTTCCACAAAGCCAGCTTGGAAAACTTGTTCTCTTAACTTTTTGTAGATAGAACCAGCCACTACTCTGTGACCTCCTGGTTAGAATATTTGGCTTTTGCCTTACTCCCAACTCCCAGCTGGATGCACCAGGAGAGATTGGACTGGGTGAACAAAGGTGAGAGAGGGTTCCCAGCTATTGTCTCCCTTCCAGGAGAGGGTGGTTGGGTCTGGCAAAGCTTCCCTTATGCCCCACGTTCCTCACTCACAGGCTCTGCTTTGGGCTGAGAAAAGGTTCTATTCTCATAGGAAGTGGTCCCTGGACTCCTCTGGCTCCTAAGTCAGGCTTCCTAGGGTCCTGCTGAATGAGGGGACAGGGTACCCATGACCTCCGCACCCTCCAGCAATAGGAACCACAAGGAGAGCTTCCCACTGTGATGTCCCCAAGGATGCTACCACCTGCCCAGAGAGTTGGTGGCTTAGAGAATTAGGTGAGAGTATCTGAAGATGGAGGGTGTGAGCCATTTTTTTCTGTGTTTAGTAGTAGTATTAAGAAAAGAGAAAAGAAAAACCCAAATCAGACCCAGCGTTGGAGCTCAAGCCAGGACCCTCGAAGAGAGTGATTAGGGCTGCCTGAGTACGTGGCTGCAAGGAGTCTGTCCTGGGACCCCTCGTCCTTGGTGAGAGACCGACAGAGTTGCACTCTGTGTGGCTTTGCAGTTGGTGGGTCAGGGACTGGCTCCAGGGGGGTGCTTCCAGAAGCTTAAGGGAACCAGCATCTTTGGGTCTTTTCTCTCACTCTCCAAACTTAAAAAGCCAAGAATGTAGCTCAGACCCTCCAGCTACCCCGCTGCTGCTAGAGAAGGTCATCAGGAAACTGACCGAAGAGAAGCACCTTGAAGAACCTTGTCTTCAAGGAATAAAAAGACAGCCGGGAGGGCGCAGAGCCAGCTGCAGGCCTGCAAGCCCGGGCTGCGGGCGGGCCTGGCCTGGAGCGGAGCTGGGGGTGGAGGGGCTTTCCTGGGACAGCAGTGGGTCCCTCCCCTCCTGAAGCCTCCTCAACCCCCTGTGGTCCCTTCTGGCTGTACAAGGAAGTGGGGCACAGTGGGGCGGAAGCAAAAAGAAGAAATGGGGAGCAAGAAAACTAACCCGGAGAAACATTTCAGAGGATAAGCACCCCCAAATGCGGTAGGAGATGGAGTGGGACTTCTTAATCAACTCTGGAGAGCAGAGCCCATTTGAAATGTTTGGGAGGCAATTAGAACCCGCTTTGGTTTATTTCTTGTCTTTTTTTTCTTCCCGTCTCAGAGATTTCTGGCTGCCCAGTTGCCCGCTGGGAGGGTGGGGGTTGTGGATGGTAGAACCGGCAGCCCTGAGGGCTCCCATTTCACTGGAGGTGTTGACGCAGGATAGGGACCTTTCAAACTTCGGGGACAAAGGCAGGGCAGCGAGCAGCTTAGGCAGGGAGCTTGGGGTGGGAGACATCAGAAGTGTCTGAAGGAAGAGTTTGGAGTCTGCAGAAAGAGGAGAGGAGGGCTGTCACCCCTGCCAGTGAAGTTGTGGTTCAGGGGCAGGCTAGAGACAGGAGAAGGAAAAATTTCTTCCTGGTATTAAGGTGGGAAACTTAGCAACTTTCTCTGTGTGTGTGTGTGTGTAAGACAGAGAGAGGTTGAAAAAATGGGGAGAAAGATTAAGACACAGAGACTTTAGTGTAATCTAATAATTAAAGGCAAAAATTAATAATAATAAAGGTAAAAATTAGAGAAAATGTTCCCCTTCCTAGGCATGCTTTTCTCTCTGATTCAGTTTCCAAAAGGCCAGAGCGCTCTCTTTGGCACTGGCAGTCCCCTCCCCCACTCCTACTCTCTACCCAGTACCAGGGGACAAGAAGTGGTTTAAATTCCCTTGAGAGATCACTGGCTGCCCAGGCTTCCAGGCCTTTGGGGGTTGTTTCCCCCCCACCCCCAAATCCATCAAAGAACAAACGAAAATTCTCCTTTCAAGAAGCATACCTTGGCCGGCTCCTTGAAAATTGATTTCTGGTTATCAGCCTTGGGGCAACCAAGGATGCTGCCCCCAGCTCAGCCTGCCCCAAATACAGCCCGCCCGAGGGTTGGGGAGAAGCTGGGACCTGGGGCCAAAATCAGCCTCTTAACGATGTATCTTTCTGGTCTGGTCTGGGTTCCCAGACCCACACTCTTCCAGCGTCATTGCCCAATCTTGCGGCAGAGCCATGTAAAGTTCTCATACGCATACGAGTGAATTTCCATCTCTTCCTAAATATTAATAAAGATTTTAAAGCTGGGGGCTGTAAAATGGGAATTGCTACTGAAGACCGCTCTTGGTGTACGTGCGGATCCCCCAACCTGCCTTTCCCCCACCCTCGAGATGTGGGAGCAGAGGGAACAAAGGAGCAGCAGCGTGGAAAAGATTTGGCGCCTCGGCAGAGGCCAGTGTAGACCCGGCTCAGCAGAAACCGGGATCGAAAGAACAAAAAGGCCACTAGGGTTGAAGAAGAATAATCCAAACCGTGTTCTCCCCCAATCCAAGCTGTAGTCTGCCCCTACCCCAAGCGGCAGGATGAAAAGGAGGCAGAAAAAAAAAAAAAACAACAGGGAGGCCGTGGGGATTTGCAAAGGTTCTTCAGCGACCACGGAGGCCGCCTGAACACACTGATGGGGTTGCCTCCGGCCAAGGTGGGAGTTACCGGCAGGCGGGATCTTCGCTGGCTTAAGAGGCCCTTTGGAATCAGGGGTCCCCCCTCATCTAGAAGTTCAGTCCCGGCCTAGCAAACCCCGCCCCTGGGGCTGATGTCCTGAGGTTGAGACAAAGGTGGGCAAAGCAAGAGGGAGAGGGGGGACCCTAGGATAGCTGGGTGGAGGGTGCTGGGGAAGGGAGGGAGAAGTAAGAACAGAGGAACAGGGCCCAGCCGCTGCGAGTGACTGCGCAGGTCTCTCCTGACAGATTGGATGTCTCTCTCCCAGTGACCTCTGTTTAGCAGACAATAACTCACCGGATTAATGACCAATCAGCAGAAGGCCTTCCGAATTGCCTCCAAATATAAAACTCCAAAGTCAAACGGGATAGGGCCAGAGTCTGAACCTGCCAGGCCCCTAGATCTCCTCTCTCTCTCTCTCTCTCTCTCAATATAAGGTTTAAGATGAGGCTTTTGGAAGTGGATTATCTGGCCAGAGACTGACTTCCAGAACTCAGACGAAGTTGTTTCCCATCTCTTCCCGTGTCCTCCGGCCCCCAGCACAACTCATACCCTGGCCACACTTCCCAAGGCCGTCTGGCAACCTCCTCCTCTCTGCCTGGACTCCTCATATCCCCAATCC